GTCTCCCGTAAACCCATAAGACTTACAACGATTTCTTCGATCTATCCATGTCTCTGAATCAGCCGCTGAGAAAGATGGATGCAGCACCTGCAGGCAGATGCGTTTAGCGAAGTCCAAACAGATATGCAACTCTGCTTCTCCCGACGTGTCATAAAAGCCCAGGAATCGCTGACATCACAGGCCAGCTGGACGTTTTTGGAAGTCATCATCTTATCTAGTGATCTATGCACCCATACCGATGTTACAAGCCCGGTGGGTTCCCCAGTTCTGGCAGCCGAATGGATAATCTAGCAAAAAAGTGGTGGAAGAACTGCGTGGAGAAAAATGTGGATACACAATGGCCTTCCGGTGCGGAATGAATGAAAGAACTCTATAACTAGCAGACATTGTCGGCCGTTATCTATGCATTCCTGCGAATTCGGCAGACGCTGAGCATAGCTTCAGCGTCTACAAATGTGTCTGACGAAATTCACGAACTTTCAGACAGTAGTACGAAGCACCGTGTTGAGATTTATTTTAATTCCTCTATTTCGAATCATGACAAACATGTGTATATTGGATCAGGGTGTCTCGATTTCTGTTTATTATTGTCTTCGCGGGGAAATCACGGATTTCTGGGTTAAGGACGCAAAAATTTTGATTTTGATCGCGGAAGAAATGCTTCACCACCGCGTAAAATTGGGGTCTTTGCTCAGTTCTTCTGAATTACAATGTGGGCACTTGCTTACTCTACAAGAACGGTCTGTGAAAAACTCAACCAAAAACGTCGGACCAGCATATGTGTGGTGGAGCTACCGGTGGTATGAATTGCTAACTGACCTCTTGAGTAAGTTGAATCCCGCTTGCTAGGTTACATGCAACCACATGCATGCTGAGCCGAGCTGCTCTATACCATTTGCATGAACTCACATACACGTAATCACCAGCGAAGGTGAGTTGAGATGGATCGACTAGTCAAACCCACACCGTCCGATGCGCCATAATAAAGTCTAGAAATGACTAATATGCAATCCTAGACAGCCATTGCAACATGTCATCAGTGGCGCATACGCATCCTTGACCTTATCTTTCAATACCCGGCCCAAAGTGATGAACCGGTGTCAATCGCTTGAGTCAACTCGTAGAACCCAGCAGTAGTGAAAATAGTTTAACTACCAAGTAAAAGGAAGTTTACTTGCAGTTCAATGATAGTAAAAGTTGACAGCTGTGATTAAAGAAGTAGCAATCAATAAAAAGTAATTGGGAAAGTGTCGGAGTCACTAGATGGATGAGTTATTAGTTAAGGATAAAGAGGTGGTGGTGGTGGGACAGGGCCACACATGGTGGAACGTACGCACTCGTGATAGAGTTCAAGTGCACGCCAGAAACATGTACCAGCCAACCACTCAGCCAACTGTATGAATTTGCTTGTACGAATGTGCAGTTGAGTTACTATGGACGAGGAAACAGGTCAAGTCGCCAAATTTCATCACGGTTAGACGAAGTGGAAGGGTACGGTGGATGAAGGTCAAGGGACAGTAGTCACCGATACAGGAACACAAACGTGAGAGATTTACTCTTCACTCGAATTCCCAGGTAGTCACACAACACTTCTGCTCCATCGAGTGATATTGCAGTTGCACATGCCATGACAAATCCTGCTAAGTAATGCTGGTAAGCAGCTTGGTGGAGAAGTGCATATCCATGTGGATGTGGAAGTTATGGCAATGAGTGGTTCGGAGATAAGAACAATTGGAGAATGTCAGAAATTACATGTGAGAACTGGATTGCACCAGTTGACTAAAACAGAAGTAAAACACCAAAGCAGAGCACATGCGGTCATCCACGTTGTCATGATGATATTAGACTCTAACCAACGTAGAGCCAAGCAGAGAATTAAATTAAGCGTAGCACCAACTCCAAAGCGATCTTGCCTCAACAAGACTACGAGGGAGGGCACATGCAGATGTTTTTAAAAGCAGATGGACGGAAAGGTTGCGCCCGACATAGATGATAAGATTAAAATAGAATTTTGAAAAGTATACTCTTCGCTATCTCACTAGGGAGGCAGTCGTACTTAACACAAGTGAGAGGTGGAACCCAAGGCAATAACAGTAATAAGTCGACACAGCGATAAGCGTCGATCGTTCTCGTGTTCCATTGGTGTAATCGATTGCATAAGACGAGCGGTTAACCTTGCTAGGCAATGATCACAAGTACATCAAATGATCACACGCGCCTATACTAGTTATCCATCGATTTCATCCGTGGCAAACACATGTTATGATTTCGAGGGCGGCTGTTGTGCAACACTCAGCTTTCCAGTGTAAGCGACGCTGGGAGCAGTAATAACGAGTTGGTAATCCACGATACCACATTGGAAGCGCTGTGTTTCTGGCAAGCAACATAACCGGAATCCGATCACTCCCACATCAGTCCATCAAGTCACCGTTGATTTGTTTAACATGATCTTTCGGTGTGCTAAGAAATGTACACGACTCAGCCATATAAAATCATTGATGTCAGTTAGAGTGCGCGGGCTGTTTAGAGTCTCAGCACGAAAGCACCGGTCGCATCCGCGATGCCAACTACCGCCGTGGAAGAGCAAAAGAAGAAGACGAGAAAGATTTCCTATCGTAGAAGTGACAAAGTGCAACCGGTGGACTGTGGATAAACGGGGAGAGTAGGGGTGGTATACAGGAGGAAGCAAATGGAATGGGACAAAATTAGAAAAATAATCCATCGCCTTCTGATGTGTGATGGAGAGGTAGTACAAGTGAGTGGAAATGGCATCAGAAAGGGGGCAGAGGAAAATGTGCAGAAGCAGAAGGCGAACGATGGAAATAAGTGGCTATTTCTTTCCTGAGTAAATCCGGAGAGCAGGTTCCCAATGGTTCAAGAGACTCTGTATCTTGGAAAACATAAGCCTAGTTTCGTTTCAATTCCTGTGAAAGTGGCGGTGGCGAAACGAAAACCACCAATGTGATCTGGATTCATGGTGTGCATTTGTGGGCGATGGTCAATGCCTTTGCCACTGGGTTCCCTGTAGGAGGATAGAGATATACGTGTGATCAGGTAGCAAGCATAGAAAACGAAAACTGATTCGAACAAGTCAGAGAAAAAAAGGGAACCAGAGAGAATGGAAACCATAGTATGCAAATGGTGCTTAGGATGTAGCAAAGGCCTGGTGCACGATCACATAACGTGGACAATAGTAAGCGGTGGAATAGAATAAAGAATTCTCTTCAGAAACTCACGATTAAAGCGTTTATATAAGTGGGACCACATGACGAATGTTTTGAATCGGGCTGTATAATGATTACGATTTTTAATTCAACAATGGAATCAACATATCACACAGACACGGTAGGTGGTAGATTAGCAGAAGGGTGATACTTAGATACATTAGTTATACAATAAATCAAAAGATGAAGTAAGAATAAGACGTCTATGTAGTTCATGTTGGCCACGATTGCTTTAGTGCACACAACTCCGTGTTGTTTTGGACGCAGATAATTGAAGCAATATAGAGATGTTTCACGTATACGCATGAGAAACGCTACGGAATGGGGTAGATGACCTTGTAATTGTTTCAAAAGTATGCTTGGCGGCACTCGAAAAGTTGCAATATGCTTGAGCTATTAGATGACTGCTTAGCCTCTGTAAAACCACTACTGGGTATGCTCGCGAATCCCATGAGAGAGGCGTCTAGTAATACGACGCAAGTATTGTGCACCACCGGGCAACGAGTGCTGATAAACAAGCACCGACTGGTTCAATGGAAGCATTCTATGCCTCGAAGATTTTGCGAGTTAAGGCTTGCTTTAGTACACTATAATCAGGCGAGCTGCAAACGATTTCAAACTCATTGTTCCTCGTGATCGAGGCGACCAACTGGTTTATAGCCGGATGCAGGTGATGTACCTTATCGCTACCCAGTAACTGGTTTTGGTGTCATCAAAAAACGTGGATAGGGAAAAGGACCGTAGATAAATAATGAGGTGCAATCGGAGATCACTAAAAAGTGAGTCGTTATCCATAAACTAGGAACAAAGTTGTCGTAGAAATCCTCACTAAAAAGACAGTTCCCGTCATCCGGATCACAATGCGAACCAGACACAAGAACAACAAAGGTAGAGGGGTAACAGCACTAGGGTTGACGAATGCATGTGATACCCCAGAAAGCCTGTGCCAGTTTGGCCAACGCTGTTGTTCCACATAGGAGGTATGTGAACACACCGGCATTGGAGGCAGGTGGACGGGTTCAAACTGATCAGAATAACAAATACCACAAGATCCAAGGACACCGAGTCGCACTCTATCGATGTTCATATACCCCCCCCCCCGTGTCAGAGATGAGTCAAGTGAAAGGAGTGCAGGATTTTGAGGTGGACCCTCACACATCAAGGCGTTAATCGAAAATCCCGAAGAGAGTTGGATAGTGTTGTGACAGGACGGTGTCGTGAGTACACAAGAAACAGAAGACAGTTGGTGGACAACACTAAAAATTTACTTCACAGTGGTGGTTTGCCGTTGCCTTGTCAAATCAAATCCGAGTGGATCGGTGCGCACATGTTCAACCAAAAAGCAACTCGATATACGTTAGCTGTTACCGAGATAGAAATGGATACGCAAAAATGGAGACCACGCAAGACAGAATGGACACACGCACTTTCCGCCAAAGTCAATGTAGAGAAAGCGTTGCAGCATTTCGTAGGTGAGCAATGTGAAACCGAATTGGGGACTAGAACGGCATACACGAGCACCAGCTCCCTTCCAAAAGGCTCGTCCGCCCTCTTCACGCCAAATCTTATACGCAGCATCCAGTAAACCCGTATAGGTGGTTTGACCACGGCGAGCAACCACCTAAGCGGACAGAAGTGAAGAGACGCATGACACGTAGGTTTGGGGTCAAGCGAGCGGTCAAATGGCGACACATGCATAAATAACGGATCGATCAAACGAGAGTCAGCAATAGATGAACAGGTAAAGGTAGGACGCGCGCACTGGCCTTTGGATGAAGGAAGTATAGAGATGGAATTTACAAAAACCAGAAAAGGCCTAAATCAGCCAGATGTCAAGGAGAACACTGAAGGGTACGTCGGTATTCATCAACAGCGCATATTTCATCGATCCACTTGGGGGCTCGAGCGAGGAACAAATGCTTGAGAGCAGGGGCTGAATATGTGGTCCAGCTGATTAGGCGAGTTCCGATAAGTTCTACTGAGACCATCGAAATATGTGCGGAATAAATTGTCACTATTAGATCAAAAATATAAACGACAATGGCGGCAGCACAAACCGGACAACGCTGGTCAATGGCATGTCTCATGAAGGCAGACGATTAAAAATGGATGAGGTATTCCTCACCTCTAGATAACGTGTAAAATGATAAATATGAGTTGAAGATAACAAAACCTGATGGATAGCTGCGCGTAACAATCAGAGCGTAGAGGATGAAGCCAGGTGAGTGGCGGCGGATGACAGGAGAACAAAAGCATGGCACTAACCTGCAGTCGTGTTTTGATTACATCCGCAGGAGTGGTCAGACAGGCAGCGGGAGCACCGGACAAGGTTGCAGCGGCGAGCAATGAAGTCGGGGAGTTGAAACCATTCTCGTCAGCAAACCTACGCTTCAAATGGTTGTAGGCGGAGAAGTAGATAGCAGAGAAGGGGATGTCACGCAGAAAACAAGCACGAGAACCTTTGTACAATCCGAAGATACCTAAATCTCGAATGACCTGTATGAAAGACCGATGAATGTAGACAGTGAAAGCGAACTGCAAAGATATAGTACTCTGATAGCGAAGGCGAGCAAAATAGCCAAGACCAGGGTAAAATATTTATAAAACTATTTGGGCATCATAACCAACGTACGCTTATGGCCGAGGTTCGTTTTGTACTTGCGATCTCACCCGACACTTGTAACCGGATTTTAACAATCTCCAAAGGGTTGGTGAAGACAACCTGGCTTGCGCCAGCGCATCCACCGGCTAAAATCTCGGCCAAAAGATGTATCTCACCACTCGACGACGTGAATTGATCCCGAACCAAATCATTTACAGTCAGTTTAATGGCCTTCTCCGGCGCGACACCGATCAGCTGTGGTCCTAAGCCGCGATACAGACCGATGAATCCTTCGAACCTGGGAGTACGACGAAAGATCAGAGAGTGCGTCGTAAGCTACTAAAAGTCCATGGATAACTGAGTACGGTAAAATGATTCTAATCCATAGTATTGTAGTAATGGAACAATGGTTGGCACTGAAAGTAGTCGGAAAGTTGAGGACTCCACAAGTGGATGGCTAAGATTCGGATGAACACAGTGCAGTCTAGTGAAACTATGAGCTGGGTACTGGACTTATTTGTGGTGTCATAATAACGAACTGAATCAGTGATTAGAACAGGGTATGCATACAAAAGTCCAATCCTGGAAGGATTAAAAACGAGAGTATCGATGGTAATTGTAACAGAAGAAGCGGACGCAATCACCACTGACAATCTATGTAGTCCGCCTCGATGGCTTCACCAAGGAGGCTGGCACATGGCAACATGTTTTAAAGGTTAAAATAACTGTTTCACGTTTTGTCATATCAGACTAACCGCACTGAGTGTGCATCCAACCCGGTGCAATATCGGTACACAACACACCACAGCGTAAGCAGTTAAAGTAAATGAAAAAAACGTGGCATCACCGGTGCAGGTGTTTAAAGTTAATCAGGTTGTCCGGTATGAGGCCAGAGGATCGTCGTCTAATGCCAAGCGGTGGAAGTTAGAACGGACTAATCGGTACACCCATATCGTGTAAGCTGAAGCGTGGAAACCGCCACAGGCTACGAGTCCAGCCACCAGTGAATAAGCACCGGCTTTCAATGAAGATCGACACAAGTCGTTGCATCGGCAGTGCCAGTTCGTCGGACGGAGAAAAGACACAAAAAAGCTCAATGGGACTCATGTGGACCGGAAAATCACTATTGCAAAGTGGACAGAAAACTGATTTTCGGGTTTTGGAACAACCGCCATGTGTCTTGGATTGCGCGACACGCAATCTCAGTCGTGGCCTCGGTTGACTTTGAAGTCAGCTTCGGCCAATACGATCACTAGGACCGTCACCGAAGTGAAAGGGTTTCGGTGTGGCTATCTCCCATCCATGAACTCCAGGACCGACGGTTTCGTCTTGGTTTAGACTCATTAGGTAGAGATAGCCGAGCTGGGAGTGGAACCCGGCGCATAGTGCTTGGCGGCTATCGCCATGAACACTAGGCCATTGAGCTCCGCAAGCGGTGCTTGATACTATGCGTTGAGTTCCACTCCCAGCTCGGCTATCTCTACCTAATGAGTCTAAACCAAGACGAAACCGTCGGTCCTGGAGTGGAGAAATGGACATAAAACTGATTGTCCAAATGCTCCCCTCTCTAGTTTTCAAGCTTGCAAGTTGGAGAACGAAGCAATGAACCATTCTTCTCAATAGCTGTCGGCTCACTAAGCTTTTCTGGGAGACATGTGTCATATGATCAAACATTGGTGAGGTAATTGGTTCCGATGTTCTCTATCACACCAGAATTAGTTGTCTACGAAGATGCTTCACAGCGTAACAAGAATGCTGAGACCGATTGTTTTTTAGGATCAGAAAACTAACAGTGGTGGCATAAACCCAACGAGGCGGTGCTCGGAGTGATCTCAATCAGTATGCGGCTTTCCATCAGTGTCAGCTGAATCGATTTCATAACGGACTATGAGCTCAGGTGACGAGTAAGAAACCCCAAACTAGTACGTTTCGTCGAGGTTGAGAAAGTAAGCGCTGGGGTGCAGTAGAATGAAGCGGGAATGCACGTAGGTACTCCGGGTTGACCGGTAACTTCAAATTGATAAGGCAGAATGAAGCTTCTACTCACGAAGCTAGATACATGCGACAATGGTACAAAGAGGAAGATGTGCTTGATCTCCGGGTGTTGTCTACGAAAACCACACGCAAGATGATGTTTGTTGCTGATTGGATGAGAATGTGGGGTTCGAACATGAGTGTAACGTCCTTGTCTATGAAAAACACAAAAAGAGATTAGGGAAGCCCAAAATGGACACTGGTCAAAGTAAGTCAATAAAAGCACTGGTTACATACAAATTTAGAAAAAAGATAAGAAGCACTACCCACCTAATAACTTTCTTGAAGCAGTCCCAGCTATTCTTATACATTAGTTCGCCGATCACTGACCCAGTCCGTTGATTCTGCATGCGAGTTTTGACCAGATCGATTGGATAGACAACTGTCGCTCCAACCGCACCAGCCACGGAACCCAAACCAAAGCGATAAACCTGCTCGAGGACAGAAAGTAAGGGGGTGCGACCTCGGTCCTCGATCTTGTGTTGCACTGCTTCCTGGATTACAGTAAGGAGAAGGAAAAATGTGCACATCCATGAAGGTCCAAAATGTGGTTGTGTGTTATGGCTTGCGGAAATGCTGATTAATGAATGGTTCCGATGGTGTGAGAAGGGTAACAAATGGTAAAGCATAGCGGCTAGGTATCCGCTAAACAACACATTGAAGTACTTCACTGACAGGATAACAGTGACAGAACATTAGAGTAAACTGGTCTCTATGGAGGCTGGAAATTTCTCGGTCGATCGACACCAGAAATTGCCCATCTGCATTCATGGGTGGTTCCACAAGCATAAGACAGGCAGATGAAGATGCAAGGGGTGAACGAATCGTAAAAGCGTACAAAATGGAACAAACTACTTTCCGGTCAAACATTGGTAGATCAACCAGACTGAGATCATTGGTTGCATCACGGAGTTACCAACCGGATGGGCTGATGGTCTCCGTAACAAAAGGGAAAATTGCGATCCACAAAATTTTCACCAAGTACAAGTTGCTGAATGTGTGTGTGACACTGTAAATTAATCCAGTCCAACGAAACCCAGGATTGGTTGATCGTTGCAGTAATCAAATAAATTTGTGGAAATAATGAAGATGCGGTGCAACACGCCGCATGAACGGGTGCAAATGCATCGACTGGTTAACGAGAGAAACCCACGTAAGCAGATTCGAGTAAACAAGGGTGCATTTGTTATAGCAGAATAGTGGAACGCCAAATGGTCTCCACATACCATGCCTCTAAGGGCGTGCCTCACATAATCGAGAATAAACCTTATTGATTTATATTCCACAGACAGGTACAGTGAAATCCGACAGGTTAACCGAAATCATCCATGTCGGATATGACTTATATGTCCAATTCAGAGGTAACTAAAAGATGGATAAACAGAAGCATAATGGTGTACACCTTGCCGGGAACACGAACAATGGGGGTTGACAGCCGGATGGGATGTGGAGCGAGGGTGAAAAAAAAGAAGAATGGTATGGGAAGATGCACATAAAGTGACAGACATGCGCGGTACTTGAAGTAGCTCTGAATGGTAACAAATGAGTTGCAAGTGCAAGATACAACATCCCTGTGCAGATGCTAAATGACCGTATCAAACAATTGACGTGCCATTGGCAATAGCAATCTGATTCAAAAGCGAATCTTTAAACTCCAGAGTGGAATATAATTTGTATTACTTAGCCCCCAGTGAAGAGTGTAAAATGGCTAACGAAGCCTGAGGAAAAATAGTGGCAGAAAAACTATTCTTGATATGTTTGAAGCGCACAGTCGAACAACAACGCGGTATGGATGAGCACTTGTTACTGACGGACACAAAGATGTGGGTGAGTTATATGACTTCAAATACTTGACCAGTACAACGATGAATAGAATTGCGGAAGCTGATAAAATGAAATAAGGTCACACCTTTGGGGTAAACGATCTAGCCAAGCCAAGTAAACATTGACAACCGACCAGTGCACCTGAAAAGAAAGCGGTTTTACACCCTATAACCTCGATCGAGAGGCAGGATGGAATTCATCAATGCATTTGTTCTAACAAGACACAAAAGTATCCATTTCCAGAACAATGATAATTACCGCCCAATCAGTCATACACCTATCGCGTCAACAGTAATGGAGATAATATACAGGAAACAAATTCTTGAATTTCTATTACCACGCAGCTTACTTAACAAAGCTCAACACGGCGTTTTACCGGCTAAGTCTTGTCAGACGTGTCAATTTGAGTTTTACAGAAGAGTAGAAGGGAGAGTTGAATGGTATAGGTAGAAATTCGTCACATCGGTTTTACATCATGTATCTCAAAAAGTATCTCAAGAGTCGGGACATGCGCTCGGCATTGTCACTCTTGACATGAAGAAAGCTTTCGATCAAGTCCCGAATACTGGTCTATTTGCTAAGCTACAGTCGTTCGGTAGATTACATTAACTGCTGTCATGATTCTCATCAGATTTGACACAGATGATACGGATGAGTAGAGCGGAATAAAAGCACAGGCCCGTAACTGGCGACGTTCTTCAGGGGAGTGTTCTTGGCCTACAACTATTCCTTCTGTATGTTAAAGACGTATTTGGTTGCTTCACCTATGGAAGGCCATTCCTATTTGCAGGTGGTATCAAAGTGGTCTTCTCTTTTGATACTAACGGCATAGGTCCCAGTCTCTTGCATATTCAAAGGGATCGTGAGGCTCTAGATCGTTAGTGCAATCTTTGGGAAATGGAATGTTCGCCGGCAAAATGCAACACTATCTCATATCGGTGAACTCTATCGTATAATGCAAGATAAATATGTCAACAGAATTACTGTACGTCATGCAGATGTACACCAGTCCAATGCATTGACCTTTGTGCTGAGCATATAGGTTATAGTGCAGCTAAAGCCAAATGACTCATCGGCTATATATTCTTGAAAAATCCAGACTTTTATAAATCCTGTGCTCGGCCGATTCTACTTTTTCAGTGTTCACTAACCCTCGAAAAAACGAAAGGATTGCAGTGAAAAGAGAGAGAGAGAAACGCTTGTTTGCTAAGCGTTTACCGGACTCATGCACATTTAACTATCGGGTCAGATGTTAACGGTCCCAGTTGGATCCACTGTGGTTTTGAAGGCACAAGCTCGTAATTCTATTCTAGATGTTAAACAACTCAAAGTAGAATAGTAATTTCTCTGTTAGACAGAACAATGAGGAGCGATATCCAGTACGAACCAGGCCGTATTCCGAAAGCTCGCACTAGCATCCGCTCTAGTTTCTTCCTTTGTAGACACGCATTCGTATTGAACAGGCTGCCCATGGCATTCAGATCGATCACAACGACTACAACATTTCGCACGTCCTTACGCAGATTTATCAATAAAATTGATATCTCTGAATTGCTGACCTAAGCTTATCTTGTTCTTCCTTTCCTTAGGTTTCCTAGGTACCAATACTTCGCTAAATGGTCTGTTGACAATTGTATCCCTATACATAGCCTTCAATAATGCACAACTGCTAGAATATCCGCAATCTCCTAACTAAAGTCATAAGAGTGAACGGAGATGTCGAACATTCAAATGAAGCCATTCGCCTAGAACAAATAGACGAGTAGATTCTAATTTGCAGAGAACTACTATAAGTATGTAGCTGAACAGCATGGAGACCAAGGCTTTTCTATCCAAACATCGAGAAGAAAGACTTGAGATGTGAAATAAGCAAAATAAATAAAATTGGATGGCCTGTGGAGATAAGCCGTTTCTAACACAGCCGCCAAACAAGCACCCTAGTGGTTGTGAGTGAACAGCTCGGTTTGTGTATCCGTCCTTCTGGGTTTAAACTGGCATCCAACGAATTCATAAGATACGATGGAACACAAGTGGAGCATTCCATGTTACCGGACATTAAAATGAAATTGCAGAATCGGAGACTGCGCAATCAAAAATGGATACATCGCAGCCGGACGACGGTATTTGCGATACATTTCATATATATATATATATATATATATATATATATATATATATATATATATATATATATATATATAATCCTGTTTGGAGTCGACGACACAGCATACCGAAATGCATGTGCTCTACTTGGGGTGGTACTAGGCGGGATGCTGAAGGTAAGATTCCAGGGTTCACGTAAGCGTATTAGGTAAAGGCACAGTTGTTATGCTTCATGAAAGAGGCTTTAAAGGAACTGTTGGAGCCGAAGAAGCGTGCTTAACAGCTAACAGAGACGCGGTCATGAGGGAACGTCGTAGTCATCCGTGTCATTGGCAGTCATCATCGGGAGGCCGCTTTTGAGCCTCTATCAAAAGTGCATCACATCAGCTCAGACTGCGTAGAAGTATTTATAACAATCAAGAGAATCCCAAGAAGCTGATAAGAAGTCACTAGAGTGATAATAACAGTAATGCATGCATCCTGGTGGTCCGAAAATTACCAAACGGTTTCAACTATATGGACAGCAAACGATCTGCCAAGCACCATGGTTTCCATTTACCAATAAAGTGGAATGGGTTAGTTGGTCAGTGAGTTAAGTCTACAGATGGATCATACAACAGCTAATGAGAGAACGCAGTTCACATGTGATAGAAGGACCGGACGTTACTAGGTGAAACTGAGACTTCTGTATCAACAAACGTTGTGCCGATTGTAAAGAAAACATTGACTGACCGTAGGTAATGAGAAAGCCCGATAATCGAAGTGCACATTGGATTGGAATTCGACTACTTTGTTGAGAAGTACCTCCGCCGTGGATAAACCAAAAAACTGTAGTGTATGTAGTTAAGATTGTATAATTAGGCGTTGAACATCGTGCTACAGCCATCAAACAGAAGCCAACGCATACGCTTGGATCATAGGTAGGCAGCTAAGCAGGCTTCGCGCTCAGGTGGCGTAGGTTGAACTATGGCCAGTTGACTTAGAAACTGCAAATGGACGAGGCTGCCGCCATTCACCGTTTATGCGTTGCCTCCAGGTTTTGCTTACAGCCGGTGTTTGGCGATGATGGCGAGATCTAAGACGAACAAGTAAACCACTTGATTGGAGGATTATTTTAGAGTATACATTGAATGAATGTATTGCGACACTCAAGCTCAACGTGGACAGAGATTATCATTGAAGTGAACCTTGGTCAAATCGATCACTGGGACCGTAACTGATGAAAGAAGTAGATATTGGGTGTTGCCGGCACGAAAAAGCTGCACTTCATGACGTGTTGCGACCCTATTTCATCTCATCAGATGAGAAAGTGGATTAAGCCATCCTCGTAAAAAGCAAACGTTCGAATACGGCATTCGCAACAGCCATGACAATCAGTAGGATATCAGCTAGATGTGGCTGGTGGTAAAGTTGTGGACTTCTAATCCCATCCACTGCCACATTGCAGAATAGGAACTAAATATAGGGATTGTCCGAAAACTAGTGTCAGTAACTCCACTGTGAAGTGAATACACGTCGCAATGTGCTCGGGTTGATGAGATAGATGGATAGAAGCGTCAATTTATGCATGTGTAATCGCTCTGTCATCTGCGACTATCCGCAGTATAAGGACGACTATATTTGTGAAACTCGTTTTCGCCTTCCATGCAAGCCGTGATGCAGCGCTCGATGGAGCAAACGATTATCATCAATTTTTGTGTGTGAAACTTGACAAGTCTGCAGTCTTTGGTGATGATTGTCTATCGGAACGTCAAGTCTAGTGACGCACAAGTCTATTTTGGTGACCGTGATGAGGTCGGCGATAAAGCCCGCGCTGGAAGGTCATCAACGACAATCACCGGCGAAATGAAGCATATGACAGAACTATCATACTCAGACCGTCGTTTGAGTGTTCGTTTAATGGCACAAACAGTAAACATTCCAAAAAGTACCGTTCCAGAGATTGTGACGAATAATCTAAAAATGAAGAAAGAGTGCGCGGATCTGGTGCCCAAAATGTTAGCGGACGATGAAAACTAGCGCCGAGTTGAAACGTGCCAGGAACTTTGGGAGTTGTGTGACAATGACCTCCACTTTTTAGACAGTGTCATCACAAGTGATGAGTCCTGGGTCTTGGAGTACGATCGTGATACAAAAAGGCAAATCCCCGAATGGTACAAAACGGCGTCCTCTCGCTAAAAGGTTAAAATGAGCAGGTTAAGGATTAAGACCATGGTTATTGTGTTTTTGACATCAAGAGGCTCATTCACCACAAGGTATCACCGTCAAAGCCCAATTCTATGTGCAGATGCTCAATAGACTCAAACGAAGGGTTCATCGTGCATGGTCCGACGTCGCGGACGACTGGAGACTTCAGCATGACAACATGCCGACCCACATCATCTTACTCGTGATCCGTTTCCTGGCAGATTCAAAGGTGCCAACAGTTCGCCAACCGCCCAACAGTCCTGACTTGTCTCACACAGACTTGTTCTTCTTCTGCCGCTTGAAAACTCTTAGGATCGGACATCATTTCGCGACGGTTGACAAAGTCAAAGGGGCTCTGAAACACATATCAGAAAAGACCTAACATGATAACTTTGATGTCTGGAAAACTCAGGGGAAGCGATGTGTCGACGTAGGTGGAGCTTATTTTGAAACCCTTTAATGTGGTGTATCGATCGGACCCATACAAGTTTCTTAGGCGACTCACTGACATTGCTTTTCGGACAAGTCATGTATATGTAGGAACAGATGAGAGCAAATGTTTCTCACCAGCTACGTAATGTCAAACGATGGCGATCCACCGCACGCACCGCAGGTCCACTACAACTGCGTTGCTCATCTTCAATAGTCCACTCGGATTTGTCGATCGCCCACCCGGTTCGACCTGCTGTCACGAAAGATGTACCCAGGAAGAACTCGAACATATTACGTGCCTCGTAGTCAAGCTGCGTCGAACAACTTTCCGAAAATAAACGGCGCTCGCCAGGATTGCATGTTTCCCCATCTCAACACAATTTTATCGAAGAATACATGAGAGAATGCTTGATTCAAGTCCGATGATGGCAAAGTTTAAATTGCACACTGGAAAAAAACCAGCGGATGAGATCGTCCAGCTGGCGCAGTCAACCCTATGCAGGTTTCCTGGAGATGTTCTTTCTTCTGGTATATGCATGGTACTACTGAAGCGCAAACCGCTGCACCAAGACCACAAGCCACTTTCTCAGTCTTTGGTCATTGAGTACGAGCAACTGGAGATAGCCAACCAAACGATTTAGCTTAGCATTCGTCTAAACACAAAAGAAACTGTGAATAACTAATCAAGGAAGCCGCGAGGATTACAAAAGGAAATCGCACTAATGAGTCCAATAAACTGACAATCGAAATTCTCGGAATACTGTTGTAAAGCAAACCCCTAGCGATGAGCTTATGAAGAAAACCATGCTGGAAATTGTGAGAGCTGTTAAACATACGTTTTCCAATAAAAATCAAGGTTAATCACAGGCACTAATCCAGCAAGAGCCAAGTGAGCACAAATACTGCGTACCATAGAGGTATGCGTTGTACGTCCAATCGTCGCCCACCTACAGGTGACATTCAGCGAGGACAAGTTCCGAAGCAACCGTGATTCCCAAGCACATGTAATCTACGGTAAAACCTCCGAAGTTGACCACTTCTCTAAGTCTATCATTTTTCATAGCTTGAACGCCAGCCATGTAAACCATATGGAGTCAGACCTACGTACATTGACCACCTTTGGAAGTCGCATGTTCACCAATTGCGCAATAAGTCATTATTAATTTGACCAAGACAACCTGACCAACTGAAGGTTTACTTTGCAACGGTCTCAGAACGACTTGTTTGTTCAAGTAATAATGTGTATATATTGGCATTTTGAAACGGGTGAAATTCTAATAACCCAAAATCACTACACTTTAAGGCGCCGCAGACGTTTGATGATACGTCATGTTCCCTGTCTGCGTATGTGCGTGTGCATTTTCGTCTCGCTTCGCTGTGTTTACGCGTATGTGCGTTTACATCGTAAAGTGTGTTCCCACAGATCTGCGTATACGGATGGACCTTGGCCGTCGTTGTATGAACTCTTTCCTCACTCGTCTACACACACGTACACATCACGCCCACTCATTGGAACGTGTGCCTACTCAATGCATAGGTAGCGATCACGAGTTTGGGTGCATGTCTAGGGTGTGTACGATGTGCATACGCCAGGTGCACTCTACCGAACACAATCACTATAACAACACAAACACTGACACGTACTGGGCGTGCGGTCCTTGACCGAGTTCACCGAGCTTTCATCGAACTATGTGCTTAATATTATGTCGGGGCATTCGTCCCACCTTGGCAAATTGCTGTACTGCAGTACACACAGGTCCATCCGTGCCTTTGCCGAAAATAAATGTTCCTCGAATAGCCAGTTCTAAGCTAAGCAGCAGAGGTCATCAAGTTGACCCGGACTTCGCGTTTGCGGTTATGTACCGCAATATAGATGTCAAAATACTCAAGTTCGCCGAGGCTGTGGCCATCAATCGCAATCGCCCTGACCTCTGTGTACAAAAACAGTTGACTGTCACTGATCATTGTTTCATCAAATCTGATTCTGTTGTAGGCTTTGATGTTCTATGCATACTCCTTCTTTCTGTCAGCATTCAAATTCTTGATTCTTTCCCTCAGTGATGGTTCAGTATGTTGCTCGGTTGCATTTGAGCAGAGAGCAAAAAATGATATTGATTTGCAACATCTGTCTTCTCATTGCATTGTTTAGAATGATAAAGGGAGCGCAGTGCTTCAAAGTTCTAAGCTAGCCGGTTCAGTTAGACTTGTGATAAGTCAAAAAAGCAAACGATGGACTGTTTCAAAAAAATGATTATACTTTAATGAAGCCACACTGTTTGGAATTATTATAGTACTGTGTGATTTAACTTTGTTTGCCATTAAGGAAGAGCTCATCTAATATAATAGAAACAGGATGCACGTGAAATGTAAAGTTAATACCGCACAACAGGAAAGGGAGATACGCTAAGTTCTTGAACAAGACCTCCATATGTTGACTACCACTCTATGTTGACCAGTTTGATCTGGACCTTTGAGTGGTAGTCAACTTGCAGAGGTTTTACTGGAGTATGATTCGGATCGCAGCGGTTCCGGAGATAGGATGCGTGTAGATGGGGCACAGCTGCATACGCGTCCACCGAAACCGCATGCACAGTGTAGCTGTGCGAAATCACAGCAAATCAAGTAACGCAGCCCAACTAACACGAACTCTTTATACGGGAAAGGAGATTCGAAGCATGATTCCGAAAGAAGTGTGTCGTTCTTGGCCGAAAATACAGTACACGCCGATTGACTTGTACCCGAAGGTGGAAATGCAAGCGAAGAAAGAGGGTTCGGATGGGGTTGTATCATAAGCACAAGTCGGCATTAGGGAAAAAGCGCCGCCAGAGGATGAGCAATGGGCCACTACATAGGAAAGTCCATCATTAAATGTGACATCCTAGCATATCAGTAGTTTGAGATTGTTAGGTTTCTGACAACGCACCCAAATATGTCAGTGGAAAAAAGCAAAAAAGGGGGTTTGGGTCATCGGAAGGAAGCATAGAAACAGGAACAAACTAGTATATATGCCCGAAGAAAAAAAATCGAACGTTGAGTGCGTGGTCACAATGTATCCATATTTCTTTAGTGGTTTGGATCCATTGGCTGTAAACCACAATTCACACCGTTAGGCTACGCTTAAAGCTATGATTTAACTAACAATATGGAATACACAGACGAGATATCTGCCACAATATTATGCCTCAATGGGAGCTGGAGAAAAAATGCACAAAGGATGACAGTAGCACTCCCGGCCAAAAACGAACCTGTAACGTGGCAGCGTAATTGTGGTAGGACACTGCGTCATCCCCGATGGGAGATAACGCGGTCAGTTCCTTGTAACTCAAACGTCTACAACAGGAGGAAGAACGACAATGTAAAGTCAGCCAGGAGATATGATCATTAGTGAGACACTGGGTTACGAAAGGCGAGGGCACACATGGGCGGAGGCCAACAACATCGTGCAACTGGCAATGGAGTTAAATCAATAAACATCACGTGATGAATAGGCGACGTGCACTAAATAAATCATAATGGGATTAACGAAGTAGAAGTGTAAAGCAACCCTCTCGGCATCTGAGAATGCTGAATGACCGAAAATACGAGCAAGTTGATCGCTTGGATGATGGTGATGAGTGAAATGCCATCCGCACGATACTACTAACAAGTAAAAAGTAGCAACATTACAAAAGGGAATAGTCAGTGAGAAGATGGGCACCAGGATGCATCATCGCAATGGTCAATTGGGAGTAGCCTGTGAATACATTACCACCATGATTAGTTGAACGATCGGAAAACTGGGGACCAAGTAGCAACTCATAAGTAAATAAGTCGCATATGAAATTAACGTGCGGTTTTCTGCACAAGCATATTTCTTCGATACGACCAAAAGATTCGGATACCACGGGAACAATCATAAAATAATCTCTGAACTCATGACTGCTCGATCGGTTCCAGGTATCTTCCAGGAATTTGAAATCATAGAATAGTTTGTGAGCAACGCTTCGCTTTTGACACAAAAGCTTCGTTAGGCTGAGTGAACCAATCGAGGATAATAAACGCGACGAATGGGATGTAAGCAGAGGTCAATCGCGTTACAGGTCAACGCACCACTCCAAATAGTGCATGGAACGGTCCCAAGTGGTCCGCGTTACAAGGTCACACACGCAAGTCCCCTTAACGATGGGTGCTCGGATGATGTAGTGTTCATTCTCTGTCCTGGATCCGCCAGCCGGTGCTCCTCAGACTGGGCTGGTAAGACAGCTCGCCACACGTTCGAAAGCTCTGCCCCGTCCATTCTGTTCACGCAGCTGCTGCACCAAGTCTTGATTGATTCAGTCGGCCTAACGAAGCTTTTGTATCAAAAGCGAAACGTTGCCCACAAACTGCACCAAGCTGTTGTTTTCAAACTTTTCCGATATCATGAGGTATCGACCGGTTCCAAGTACTTTCCACGACGTTGAATAACAAACTACTTGTATCATATTCATTACATGAAAGGAATTTTGTCTCCGGAGATTAACGTGTTAGCACAGAAAAACTGGTGCTGTTGTTTGGGACATGATTAGCGCACGACAGTTAGGTGGAAAAATCCTAAAGATGAATGGCGGTACAGGAAATTGGACCTAAGCTAACGCTGCATTCCGAAATTCAATGTAAACCGAAGGACGAATCTCGCTTAAGAAGCTCTAGCCATGCGAATGTACCCCGACAATGTAACTTAGGATTTAAATCATAGGAAGAATGATCAAGAAGTAGAGGAGAGCATCATGCTCTGAAACCTTTTGTCAAACATCAACGATCATCGCGTTCCCCGTGTTTCGAATCTCGCTTCCAGAGTAATGCTACCGAATGTATGGAACCACAGAGTACGGGTGGCAATGCCTGATACACAAAGTTGGACTCTGAATAAAGACTCCAGGAAGATCATACACCACACAGGGCCACAACAGTGAAAGCAAGATGCAGTGCGGTGTAGTTCCGTTCAGAATAAAACTATAATCCAAGCATCGAAGTGAAACGGATCTACGTATTGGGTTCACGTAGTCATGATAGCAGTGTGAACAGCACGCAAAAGAACCGGATCAAAACGGAAACGAACGTAAAGATGAAAATGGCCTGGATTCAGTGGGTGGAACGGTGTGATTTTAAAATAATGCGGGAACTATGAATGCAGTAGTAAATTCGAAAATGGACACATCTCAATCATGAACCAGCCATGCAAGTAGAACGCAAAAGCGCGACGTAGCTACCTGTCCATCTCCCAATGAGACTCGCTATGCCACCAACTGGTTACTTCGGATAGTAAACCTATTTGATGTGATCTCGGCTGGCAACATATGATGAAGGTTATTAAGTTAATCGCGGCCGTGTGATCATATGAAGAGCACCAGTACGAAGCAAGTCCTGTTACCAAGTGAGGGTGGAAGGAAACAAGGAGTGCATCTTCGGTGAACAAGCCAGGGTTAATGATAAGGGGAATTCGGCGTCTGAATGTTAGCGAGTGATGCCATGTAGATGATTCGAACCTTGGAGCATTTGATGGGCTAATCGAGGTCATACCACCCCCAAAGTCGGTCAAGATCTGGATGAAAACAAAGGTATCATTCTAAGACAAGTAGTAATTTCGCTCGCACTTTGGCTAACAGAAAACGGAACGATGCAGATGAAGTGAGTAACTCCGTTGAGTAGTTGTAAGGGATTTGAGTAGCCTGGACGCGTTAGCTTAGTCGAGAGTTACGACGCAAACTGAGCACAGACCCTAGTCACACACGTATTCGGATGGCAAGTTGAGTCCTCCTAAACGGACAACGACACGCACACGACCGGGGAACTTAGACGCGCGAGGCATACACGAACGCGGAACACAAGACTAGAGCAGCGCACACGTGACCATGCGGTTCCCAACCACCGAGAGGAAACAAGAGAAGACGAAGCGGAACTCTGGGAGCCCTTTTACGACCCACAAAGGCCGAATCACAGTTGGAACGACGTCTCATTTTGTGGGTATATGAATCACCACGTAGGGCTGGTGGTTTATGAAAGAAGAATGTCAACTTAGCCCAGTTGCGCCCCGACTCAAGGTGGTTAAGTCCTGCTACGTTGTGGGGAGGAATTGAACTCTGCGTAGCACACCGCACGCACTGGTGCTTGTGGCGTATCTTTGCGGGGATACTTGACGTGCCCGCAACAGTAGTTAAATGTCAAAAATGAAAATCAGCAGTACCCGGTGTGTGTGTTTGGATTACGACACGCAACCTCGATTGAGGGTATAATTTGTTTTGTAGGAAACCTATACCATTTAGGTCACTGGGATCACATCCGAAATTCTCCACTCAGGATTAGGGGGAGCTCAGCGGGCTCTTGCGATGGTTTGAGTAGGCAGCAAAAACATAGTGCTTTGTAGTAGGACAGTAAGTAACAATCACGTATGAAACAGGTCCGGCGACGAGAAAAAATGTTCCCTACATCCCCAAACATATCAGTTGGTACACCAGTAGAACTGCGAGTACGGGTTACTGAACCGCAGATCGCCATTCCAAACATAGCGGCAGAAGGCTGGAACTATTTGAAGAAACCATCTATGGCCTTGACGTCCCAATAATGTGGATCACTGAGAGAAGAGACGAGATGGTGACAGTGAAGTCAAAAATATTATCTGATCCTGAGTAATTGCTTTCATCATAAATGAAATGATTGCTATTACTTCACTTCGAAATACCAGACATGTATCGCCAGCCTGCTAGCTAACAGAAATGTGGGACGCTATGTAAAACACATAGGTATTGTCTTCACTGCAACTTCCCTGTGGTCAGCTTGCTTCAGCGAATCAATTGTCGCTGATGGGTACAGGGTAACGAAACTTATAACGTGTCAGGATAGAAGATCGCCAGCGCATTCACTTCCCCACGGGTACTTGGACAGCGTCATTCGTACAACGCACCCGGGATGGAAGTTTTCATTGACTCGAGCGTCAGCACTGCTCAATGTCGGTTGCGACTTTTCGCAAGGTAGAGGAGCTTCCGTCTGTCATCATCAATGTACACGCTAGCTGCAAGTGGAAAACACCTCAGCTATTGTGCCGCAACACAAAAGAGAAGAAAAAATACGTGAAACGGAGACACGCCGGCTGAGTCACCAGTAACGTAGGGACATCGTTCTGGAGAGCTAACAGACGGCTATTGTGCCGCAAAGTAGTCGTATTCTCCCTAATAATTAAGTTCGTGGTTGGAGGGGGAGGCTAAGCGGGAGGGGGAAGGACAAAGAAAGTCACAGCACAAACGCCATTGAGGTCGGCTCCTAGCAATGTCAACATGTGTATCCAACCAAACGTGTTCATCCTTCCTTCGGTCCCCAACCATGGGGCCTAAAGGCTCCAACCGAGGCCAATCTCGAAGTAAGGTTCCGTCTGTTATGCTATCAGCAGAATCATGAGATGGTACACCAGAAACCGAGCACTGAGTTCAGCACGATAAGTGAAGCAGACCAAAGGTGTGTACTCAATCAATCTCTAATCGCAGACAGTCACAACAATCAGTGCATTAGCGTATTTCGGATACGTTATCGTGTGTGCAGATTCTGCCAGGCGAATGACTGACAAGTGCTGATTTTGCAGACGACACAGTTATCGTAGGCCTGAGTTAGTTTACGTGAGAGCGCTGCTGAACATACTGGCTGTAATGTTAAAAAAATATAAAAAAGAACAACAAGAAGCGAATGAAGATGGAGATACCAGAAAAGTTGAAACCGATAAGAAAAGGAAAATTTTCCAAGAGCCTAAGTGTGCAAAATATCCGATGCGAAATACTTACCCATCGGGACGTAGCAAATTCGTGAGGTGAAAGAGAATGTTGACCTCCATGGGCGTGATCTGGGTAAAATGTTGAGTTGCGTTAAGAAACTCCTCTGAAACACAGATACAAACAAGGTGAATTAATATGGTGGCTGGAAGTGGGATCCTATACACTAGTTCTTGAAAGTTGAAACACCAATCTTATGACACTCGAAAATATGAGAGAATACTCGGAAGGAGGGGATGATAGTGTTTTCATATGTTCTTATTCAGAGCGTGCAGGTCTGATAAACAACCAGAACAAGAGTACTCATACAAGGAACAACGTATACTATATAAAATGAGAGCACTTTCGACAAAATGTCACTCTTGTACAATCCGGCATGCTGATGTCGAGAAAGTGATCGCCGAATAACTGCAAATATGAGTACTCAAATCTGCGGTGCTGAACTAGACAGCATTATGCAAGGGTCTGGATGGTAAGAGGTAGGCTACATCCAGTTTTAGTCACACAAAAAGTATATTAAAGTATTAACCTCTCAACGGTTACGAATGCTACATCAAAAGGACGGCAACGAAGGAAAACCTCAAGATACAAACAGCAGATTTGATTGAGCTGTAGTCTGCTCAAATACGTATACTGTACATGATGCAATTTTGCAGCAAACGCAATCGATTGTGCGCTCAAGACAAATGAAGACAGGCGTAGCAATAGGTAGCCCATTGGGTCATGTTTTCGCTTATTTTCATGCTGATGATAGAAAGAAGCATGTCTACAGAAATAGCCCAGGTACCCTACTACAAACGACATGTTGATGATAATTTGGCTATTTGTTCGTCAGCACAGCAGCTCGCACGGAGTTTCAACGGTACGCATGCTGACAAAGGGGTTACAGGAAAATTGTCAACCATATCAGTCGCAGGGATGATGGATTGATTAAGAGGTCCCTTCACCGAAAATCAACTTGGTCCGGTCAGCATCTGCACTACACCAGCTTCACACCAGTGCAGTACGAACGGACACTTGTGAAGACTCTAGTTAGTCGGGCCAGACGAATTTGCTCTGCTGACTGTCTGGTCGATGAGCTAGCGCGTTAATTACATCAACGCTTATGGCGAACGGTTACCGCCGAAGATTTATCGAGAAACACAGCTAACTTGGAGGGTCGAAGAAATTAGTGCATACGGCAGCCAAGAATGTATATATCGAGTTACCTTTCAAGGGTGATTTGACAACGCTGAAGAAAACTAAGCAAAATTCTTGCACAGAAAGATGTTCCCACGAAATATGTGAACATTTTACGTTCCTTATACTCGAACACTACAGGCCGCGTCAGGGTCTACGGTGACTTGTAGGATTCCTTTCCGACAACAATTTGCGTTCGTCAGGGATGTCCAATTTTTGTTCAATTCCCTCGTGAACTCCATTATGCAGTGTTCCCTTGCGGAATCTTCCGATGCTGGAGTTGAGGTGCTGCGTAGTGAAAGACTAGTTGATCTTGACTATGCGAACGATATCGTCTTGCTGTTTAACAATGTCCGGGCGGCACAATCAACCCTGAATAGCCTCCCTAGAGTGGTCCCCTTATTTGGTACGAGCTTCGCACCTTCAAAGTGCAAAGTGCTGCTGCAAGACCACAAGGCACTTGTTGATCCCTTGACCCTAGGTAGCTGATGAATTCACGTACCTTAGCAGTTGCATCATCAACGATGGGCGCATAGAAACTGAAATCAGTTCACGGATTGCAAAAGCCAGAACTGCCTTATTGAATCTGCGACATCTTTGATGACAGAGAGGGGTTCCCTCGGTCTAAACGACCGTGTTTACAAGGCCGCAAGAGGGCTGTTCCACTCTATGGGAGAGAGACTTGACTTCTTCGATCTGAAGATCTAAGGCGTCTTTAAGTCTCTGATCATCGCTGTCTGCGAAGCATTGCTGGTGTCGGGTGGCACCAGCGTGTCCGAAAGGATGATGTGCATAGGTGAGTATTAGGAAGTGATAACCAGGCTACTTCTTTAAAACAACAGATAACGGTGAATAAGTTGCGTTGCTTTGGACACGTATTCCGTATGCCCGGTTACCGCTT